CCAGCGCGATGGCCGGACCAGGAGGTTGGAAGTGATAAGTCCCATTACAGACAGTTTTGACACATGAGGTTGCGGCAGATTTAAAAGCAGCTCCGTGCCGAGTATGATAAAGGAGGGGTGTGTGCTTCCTTGCAGATCGAAACTTGCCATTCACATAGTTGCTGCTTTACACCAACACAGGATCTGGCCTCCCAAATGGCAGCAGCCGGGCGTATTAGCTGTTGCTATTTGTATTGATGACTCTCTAAGCAGGTGCTGCTGCTGGCAGCAGCGTGGAGGAAACACGTCTCCAGCTTTTGTTATCTTGCTTGATCTCTTTTATTAGATAACTTCAGCAGCGTACTTTTGAATCGAGCAGTTTAATAAATGAAACTCGAGAAGCACAGAAGCAAACACTGAAACCTGTTAGTCAGGGCCAGATCCTGCAGGCATCACTGTCCCGGAATAGCAAGATCAGTCCGAGTCTCCGGGTGGTTGTTTTCAAGTGTAAAGCTACCCATGCGTATAAGCTGAATTTTAAGTCAGGGTTGGACTCTGAATTGAGGTTTGCATGTAAGTGGTCTTTTCCGATGTGTGAGACCTCAGACGGCTCCCTCAGTGCTGGTGGTGGCCAGCACGGCTGAGGATCAGGGCTCCTGCAGCGAAGGAGATAACGTGAGATTTCTGAGTTTGGGGACTTTGGCCAGCAAATAACAAATATATTGGCACAGCATGGGAAAGACGTAAAAATATGTATGTCAGAATGGGGCAGGCTTTTAAGTGTTTTTCATTTAAAATTAAAAGGTCAGATTGAATGGGGTTGTCATCTGGGGACCCGTATGTGCACCTGCCAGTCATACGGAGGGGAACCCGTGTCAGTTTGTGCTGATGGCTGACTCTCTGGGAGCTTGTCTGCGCTTAAAAATTGATGTCTGGAACGGTTAAAATGACAATTTTCCTTGTGGCGGTCAGGCTGAGCCATCTGTTCCACCAAGGAATGGGAACGAAGGACCTGAGTGCAAGGCTGCTTTATCACAGTTTAACTGGTGTCCACGCTTCGGCTTCTACAAGTGTAGCCATACTGATTAAAAAAAAATTAAAAAAAAAAACCAAACTAAGCTCTGAATATTGGTAAGACTTTCAAGTGTAAAGGAGATTTAAAAGTGAATGCGAGTTTTGAGCAGTCAGAAAAGCAGATGCCGTTCAGCCAGGCTGTTATGTGAGAAGTGTAATTAGCACTTGCTGAAATTATTTTCACAGGTAAGGTTTTCTTTTAAAGGGGTTGGGGAGTCTGGTTACTTCAATTTCTAAGTGACCACTGTAAGGTTATGCTAGGGACACCTGTTTTTCTGAAAGTGCGACTGCACTTCTCTGAAACTTGGACTTATTGCAGAGGTTTTAAACTGTTCATTTCTGAAAAATCTGAACGATATAAGAAAACTCAAACCATACCAGAAGACTGATATTTAAATTCAGACATTGTAAACTACTGCTTTTAGATTTAAATCTGCAAACAGGAAACCTTGCTTTCCATACTCTACTTGTGTGTTAAATTTATTTTTTTTTTTTTCTTGAGAAATGTTGATTCTTACTGTCAATAATACAGCGTCAATATTATCAGACAGTGAGTCAACAGACTGTTTCTGATCATTGTGTCTTCAAAGATTTTAGAGTTCATAGATCTCAGCCTCTCACCTTATTTTCCTTTCAGCTTGGGATGGCTTTTTTAACTTCTAATCACTTTCTCAGCTTTTTATGAGTTGTACCTTAAATTTAACTAGTTGGAAGAAACAAATGAAGGAAACAATCTTTTGTGAAAGATGGGCTCTCTTGGTAAATTCGTGTTCCAGTAGTTAGACTCTACTTAGTGCTTTAAC